ATGTACACTTAATGGGGATTGGCATTGTAAACAGTATCAAGTCTATCAACGTAATGCTTGATTTCAATGAGAAAGTCTCCTGTTATACAATTTTGAAGTTTGATAATTATTACTAATGCGGCATGTTTTGAATAAACTCCTGTGATAACATTTGGTACTTTGGGAGACTTGGGTATCATTCGAATACTAGCTATTTTGAATCCTATTCGAATCCTGTATTAGAATCCTACGGAAAGAGACCTGACGTCGGTTGAATCAGAAAAAAGTATAGTGCAACTTTGTGCTCATTATTATGGCGTAGATACATATTTCAAAAATTCCGAGTGCTTTCCAGAGATATCCGGAAAACCCCGAAATTCGCCAGAAATGATTTTATTTTTCCAATACCGCTTGTCAATAATAGGCAATCATCCTTACGCTTATAATCCTTGGTTTGTGTCAATATCGGCGCTTGTCAATAATGGGCAGTCCTCTCGACGCTTATAATCCTTGGTTTGTGTCAATCAATAGCTGTCTTTGTCTGTTCCTTTACGTTACATCTTTCTTGTCTCTCGAGTAACGAAATTTGCCCGTGACGCGTTTTTCAAATCGCTCTCCATTGTCGTCCAAATAGCAGAACGCCGTTTAAGAAGTTTCTTTTCAAAAATTATTGAAATGGAAATAATCTTGATACAATTTTGGAACATAAATAAAAGTTGTATGATATCTTAAGTGTGTGCTGGCGCTATTTGACTGTGGGTTTGGGTTGGTGGTCTACAGAGATCAATGGTGGCTTCATCTCTGCCATTCTCAGGAGAATAAAACATAGTTTATACTAAAGCTTATTTTTATTCTCAACAATCATTGCCAATATGGTTAATACGACTGTGAGTGCGACTACCATCTAAATTGTTGCAATATTCATAATCATAAAAATGAAATACGTCTTTGTCGGCACCCTTGAATTTTTTTTTTCTTTTTTTTTTGTCAATATATATTGAGTATTTAAATAGAAACAGATCCCAAATTTCCGCCTGCGAACGAAATCCGCGAACGTACTCCTCTGGAAGTAATTCGTATAAACTGCTAATTTCTCACATTCCTGAATATCTAGCTTGGAAGTACTGAAATACTTTTTTCCTCAACCCATGTTATTTCTGGATGACATGATTTAAAAATTCCACCACATTGATTGCAGATCTTGGCAGATGTTCGGCAACTCCCATGACGTTACAGGTTATCCTGGTACTGGCAGATATGAATAGGCTTTTAGAGGGTTATGATCCTATTAATACTCATATTTAGAGCTTAAAGTTTTTGGAGCGTCCAGCCTGTAAGAGACATTGTTTAGTATATAACACTGCAATTGAAATGATACACACCGCTTTCTTTTTCCTAGAATTCTGTGAACTTTCTGTTTAGGATGACTGAAAACCTAAATGACCAAATTTATTTATGAGCAGGGGCTGGTAGTGGCAGCCGGTATCCACTTCCAGTTTCAACTTGAAAGTGGTTGTCATATTTTAGTCCTCTATGTTATTCCATAGTTACCCTGATTTGTTGAAGGAAAAACTCGTTTTAAAACCCCTTCTTCTCGTTTACGTGTACGCATGTTTGTTGAATTCGGTGGGTCGGTTGCTCAAGAATGTGCGAAGTTAGTTTTCTCATATCCTTGCGCTATTTAACTGTTTGCTCTAAATTATTTTTTCGCAAACGCATTTTCTGCTATCCTGGTAAGTGTGTCATAAAATCATTCAGTCCTCCGTCCGTCCTAATACTGAATAGGTATGCCACAGCTAATTTCAAAACGTGCTTCACGCTGATAGGGTCCTGCTTTGATGAAAGCGGCTATGTTGCAATTCGGTTCTTGAAAGATGTTTTGACAAGACTAACGTCTTCCTCCTGCTTCAACAGGTGTTGGCTCGGTGCTAGAGACACCGAAGATGACCAACTCATTGATTTATCGGATTCTCCAAGTCGCAATTCTCACACCACCGATATGTGGCTGATATTGAAAGTCCTGAAAATAATTGAATTAGATTTAAAAAATTCGATTAATGTCAACTTACCAGCAAAAGTCTAGCTTGCTTCATCATGGGGGCGGCGGGATCTCCAGCCTTTCGTTTGGAGGCTCTCTTGGAGCTGGGTGTTTTGGTGGTGTTGGATAGCCCCCTCTGCTTCAAAAATCCCACCACATTGGTTACAGATCTTGGAAGATGTTTAGCAATCCTCATGATGTTTCAGGTTATCTCCTTCCTGGTGAACCATTTTGTACACAAAATTAAAAATTCGCTGTTTATGGAGGTTTGTTTTAAAGTAAATGAAAAAATAAAACCAGTTTAAATTGGTTAAAGAACCTACCTAAATTTTAGAAAAAGAAATTTGAGTTTTGTGCAAATGTAAGTGAAAAAGTAAATTCAAGTTGCTGCGTAAAAAACTATTGGAATTAAATTAAGAAATAGGTAGGTACTCAGGGTTGTCTGTATTTTTAAAAAACATACAATATATTTATGTGTTAAGGAAAATAAAAATAATTCAAAAATCGAGGTTTGTGTTAACTCAAAATATGTCTCGGGGCATGATTATCCTACATCACTTAGATATTTAAAAATAGTACTTACAGTTTTTCGAAACCGACACTTATCGCCCAAAAAACTAAACTTTGAAAATCCAGGCTCAAAGTACTGGTACTGGATGCTGCGTTTTTTGTACAAAGAAAAAAAATTGAATCCTCATATTTTACAGGTAACAATGTATCCACTGAAATTTTGTATTGCATAAGGGTATTGGCTCATAAAATGTCAACGATGCTAATTTAAATCTATTCTTTTAAATTTTGATAAATTGTCTGAATTTGTCACCTTTTAAAATAAAAATGGACATATTAATACCTATCTAACTTAATAATTACACCTTAAACTAAAAAATTATTTTTAAAATGTGTTGTTGTTTTTCTCGGGCGGCTTCTGCGAATGGTCCTGATATAATTCAGATAAAAAAACTGCCGATTAAGCGTTTGCATTTAGCGGTGTTTTTTGTATGTGATACTTCGAAGTTTAAATCGGATTTTATAATAACAAGCTTCTTTCAGTCTCGCTCAAACTAGTCAACAGTGGAAAATATAAAATTATTGCACAACAATTAATTTGATTTTAACCAAGTAAGTAAATATCTTATATACTAATATCAATCAACAACAAGACCTGTCTTTTCCTAGCAAAGGATTGAAAACACTGAGAAAATTACAAGACCTGAAGCCTCATAGAAAGTGAAATTTCCAATATTTTAACAGCGTTTTTTGTATGTTATGTTGTTAATTCGAAGTTTGAATCGGATTTTATAATAATTAAGCTCTTTCAGTCTTGTTTGAGACTCGTCAACAACAATATAATTATTGCACAACAATTATCATTTTAACCAAGTAAGTGAATATCTTATATACTGATATCAATAGAATTATGGAATATTTTTAGATATGGATTTGAAATCAATCAACAAGGCCTGTCTTTTTATAACAAAGGATCAAAAACACTGAGAAAATTATAAGATCTGGTATAAAGTGAAAGTTCCCAATATTTTCTACGATAGAGACCTCAAAATAATTGCAAATCTTTACTGGAACCAATAAACTATACAAATTAATGTAGATCATAAAACTATTGTACAGAAATTATTATTTTAACCTAGTAAGTAAATATCTTATATACTTAGGTAATCGATACAATTGTGGCATATTTTTAGCTATGGATTTGAAATACTCGTCGAATTTGACGATAACGCAGTGTTGCTCCCAAGACGTACCACCAAAATGATTGGATCATATTAAGCAGTTTATTGATGAAAAATATTCGCTATTTGAAATCGTTGTCTTAAAAAATGTATGTTTTTAATAAAAAAACGAGGCCCCTTTCCCATCAAACGTTGGTTCCAACCAAGGATAATACACACTACTACTACAGGATAGCCTATCCTCATAAGGCCTGTGTGGAACAAATCCACTCTCTCCCCAACGTTAAATCACCAGTTGTGACGTAAGCAGCATGTTATTTCTCGCCTTGACGTAGGTTGTTTAAACAGCTGATGACTTAGTTATGGCGTCGTAAATGGTAACACACGAGGTTAATGAGCAATACTGTAGGTGTGTATCATCCTTAAGTTCGAACACCCTCTACCAGGTACAACATGTCATGTTGTAGAGCGGAAAAAATTATAAAGCTTTCAAATTTAAATTGTGTCTCGAAAATCAATAGTTTTCGAAAAAAATTATGAAATATTTTTGGACGTTTCTTAGAAATCACCCTGTATTTCATAAACTAAAAGGAATTTGGCAACACTGTAAACGAGTCTTAAATGGGCATCAAATAAGGCAACTTTTTTCTAATTTAACCGACCCTGTAGCTCTTACCGTTTCGGATATAGCAATAGTGGTATCACTTAAAATATACACCCTGTATAATTTTGTCAAGTAATATTTTTTTATGGAGTAAATTTTAAATAGGCAACTACTCTATAGACATTGATTTCCGACGTAGGTAACTCAAAAACTTTAAAATTAGTTTGAAAAAGGACTTTATAGAACTAAATGTAAATTCGTTCACTTGGTCTTGTACTAATTTATTGTCAGCCCTGTGTTTTACAGCTTACGGGTAACCTCTGGATGCACGGAATATACCTCCCGAGCACCTAAAAGGGCTTTTGCAGCGTGTAATGTATTAAACTTTTCATTCTTCCCCCTCAAAAATCGTGAATAGGCATGCAAAAGTGAAACATGCTATTAACGAAAGTGAAAGTAACTACTAGCATGTTTCACTTTCGCTTTCGCTCGCCTATGCAAGATAAAAAAATCTACTTTCGTAGGGGGAGAATGAGAATAACTACATAGTATAAATAGCTATCTTTTGAACAATCACAGAAAATGCACAGAAATCAGGCGATGCTTGCTCAATGAGTGACACCATTTTTTCAAGTAGGTATTGACTTTTATTGGCAGTTTGTCATTCTGATTACGTGTCACAGAACTGCTGATTACTTATGTTACTTCTTATAAAACAGAAAACATTTTTAATTTTTACATAAGAATTACGACATAAAATCACGCGATGCTATATTCTGCAATGGGAAAATTCAAGGCATGAAGGTCTTTGGTATTCTCGATAAATCCTACAATTTTACCTTTTTTCCAGAGAATTATCCCTACTTTATGCGCCGGTATGAGCCAGATGGCCGAATGCTGTGCCGAAAACACAGACCTCAAATCGATTTTGGCCCAAAAAATACCCAAAGAAATAGAAAAGGTGAAAAACTTTCGCAAGAGCCACGGAAACACTAAAGTGGGCGAAGTTACTGTAAACATGGTAAGCAAAAACAAGTTTTCGTTAAAAAATTGCAATTTTTCTTACAGATGTATGGTGGTATGAGAGGAATTAAAGGATTGGTATGCGAAACTTCTGTGTTGGATCCTGAAGAGGGAATACGGTTCAGAGGTCTTACAATTCCAGATTGTCAACAAGTTCTTCCCAGAGCACCTGACGGCTGCGAACCATTACCTGAAGCCCTTTTTTGGCTACTAATTACCGGAGACGTACCAACAGAAGAACAAGTGAGGATTTTTGATCATTTCTCGATATTTTGCATACCAAGCGTTTATTAACACATAAAAATGCAACCACATGGAGATATTACAGACTTAAACTGGAGATCTCTTCTACAATAATTATTAATTCCAGACAAGGTCAGTCTCAAAGCAATGGGCGCAACGTGCTCATCTTCCAGAACACGTCACCTGTATGCTAAAGAACTTACCCAAACACGTGCACCCCATGTCGCAATTTTCAGCAGCCCTCACCCTTCTAAACACCGAAAGTCATTTTGTCAAAGCTTACAACTGTGGCGTCAATAAAACGAAATACTGGGAGTTTGTCTTCGAAGATACCATGGATTTGATTGCTAGAATTCCAGTGATTGCTGCTATGATCTACAAAAATACGTACAAAGATGGATGCGTTCCTGATATTGACGAATCCAAGGACTGGTCGTATAATTTTACTCAAATGTTGGGCTACGACGATCCGCAATTTACTGAACTCATGAGATTATATCTAACGATACATAGCGATCATGAAGGTGGAAATGTTAGTGCTCACACATGTCATTTAGTGGGTTCCGCTTTGAGTGATCCTTATTTGGCTCTCGCAGCTGGTCTCAATGGATTGGCGGGACCGTTGCATGGACTGGCCAATCAAGAAGTAATTGTTTGCGAATTTCAAAGGATTATTTGATAAATGTATTGGTTTTAGGTTCTTGTTTGGTTGGAGAAGCTAAGACAACAAGTAGGAGACAAATATTCTGAGGAACAGCTAAAGGAATTCATTTGGAAAACGCTCAAAGCTGGTCAAGTGGTACCTGGTTATGGACACGCTGTTTTGAGAAAAACCGATCCGCGTTATACTTGCCAGAGGGAGTTTGCCCAAAAATATTTACCCGATGATCCAATTTTCAAGGTAGTATTTTGCACACTCTAAATAGTTTTTCAATAAACTCTTTTATAATAAAATGCAATGCAATGCAACCACCATTAATTCTTTTATAGCTTGTTTCATCGGTTTTCAATGTGGTACCACCAATTTTAAAAGAACTAGGAAAAGTACAAAATCCATGGCCAAATGTGGATGCTCATTCTGGAGTACTTTTACAGGTAACTTTGCTATTTAAATTGAGTTCAAAATGGGTGGAATGAGAAAATATATTTCAAAAAAGCGGAAATCAGTCATGTCCGTTGTTTTTCTATGATCGGACAAATGATCCATCATTATGATTGAATAAATTCCTATGGGTTGATTTGGTAATACTGGTTCTTGATTTTATCCTACATAATTTTCTATTTTTCCAAATAGTGTAACTTTTATATTGTCATTCTAACCCTATGGTTTTTAACTGAAAAAAAAAGTGGTTTTTCACCATTTATTTCAAAACGAATAGATGAAGTTTCCCGTTATTTTTATTACGAACTACTATTGCAATTCTACGCGACATATATTTTTTTCAAATTTTTTGAACATGTAGTTTTCTCGATACTGCAAAAATAGTTGGAAATACGCCTGTAGCTACACTGTTTTGAAAAAAATCCGACAAATGAACGTTCAAAATTATTTGCGTTGTTCCAAATTACAACCCTGCTTATGTAAAACAGAATAAATACTTCGAATTCCCGCAAAAAAAAGAAAAAACGTTCCATCACACAATTTAACCAAATGAAGATTTCTATTTTTTTTTGACTATCAAGTTAGGGCACACTGCAGGGGCGACAGCATTGACATCTCGAGTTGCTGTAATAAACTATGGCCTGACTTTAAACCTTAAGTAATGCCATTATTCAAGTAAAAGTAAAATAAAATAACCCTATACTCACCTTTCTAAGTTGATTTATTTAGTTTTGTTCATATCTGGGTAAAAGCGTTGCGTAGGTAATGAAAACAACAATCTGCAAATCATTGACCAAATCAAACCATATCACACTGTTCCTGTTTCCATACAAAACTTTCACTTTTCTAAAGAAAATGTAAATTGTTCTTTCCAGCATTATGGAATGAGAGAAACTAATTATTACACTGTACTTTTTGGAGTCTCCAGAGCCCTTGGAGTATTATCTTCACTTGTATGGGATCGTGCTCTCGGTTTGCCCATTGAAAGACCTAAATCCATATCGACAGATACCCTTATAAAGCTAGTTGGAGCTGAGTCTGAGAAAAGTCGAACACCATGTTAAAAGACAAAATGTAGCATTTTTAATATTTCGTATGTTTTTATTTAGTTTTTAGTTAATATTTTATTTATTTTTAAATGAATTTATCTTTATCGCACAAACTAGCCAACATTCTGTAGTAACAATATTTTGGATCATTATAGTCTATATCGTACCAATAATTCACAGCTATGCATTTGTGGCTTTGCCTAACGTGATGAAACCAGAAACTTGGCAAATATAAAACATCCCCTTTTTCCACTCGAACGTGGAATTGCCTGGCTGTAACAAAAAAATCTGGATAAATTTCGAGTAAGTTGCCATTCAATGGGTCCGCAGCTATCCAGAATATATTATTTTCTTGTGGATTTGATTCTAGGTCGAACGAACCTCCGGGTTGGACGTTTTCATATTTTTTAACAGGGTAGTTTTTATAAGGCACATAAGGTAAGTCAACAGGCGGTATAAGGAGGAAATCTTTGTGGCCGTCAATGACGCAGTAGATGTTTTCGTAGGGATCTTTGTGCACTGAAATATAGAAAAAAAAATGCAATTTATGAATGCTGAATGCCTAATGCAAGAAGAAGAAAGAGGAAATTATGGAATTTTTGGATTATTTTCACCTCTTGCAAATTTGTGGGACTGTGCCTTTTCTTCAATTGCCATGATAGAATTTTTCAATAATTTCAAAAAGCGTGAAATTCCCTACTTACTGCTTGTAACTGCTCTTTCGTCTCCCATCCAAAAATTGACAGCATCAGGTTTTTTATTGAAAGCTTTGGAAGCCCAATGAAATTCTTCCTGTACATCTCCCATGAACTCGCTAAAGTGCTGAGTTAAATTTGAATTTTGTTGCTGTATGTAGGTCACATAACTTTCCCTGTAAGACAATACTTTTAATATCATTAGGCATTCTAAAGTGATTCTTTTTCACTTTTTTTCTTGCAAAGTCTTCAAAAAGTTCCCAAATTTCATTGTTTTTTCCTCGGGCAAAAAAAAATAATCCTGTCCCTCATAATTTGCAACACCGTCAGCATATCCATTTGGAGTTAATGTCACAACAACATCTTTTTCTGAAAAATGTTCTCTAGATAAATACATCATAATGGAACATGTTTTTTTTTAAAGACTATTCTTACTTGAAATATTCAGAATTCCATTTTTTCACTGCTGCCCAGTCATTACAGCCACCTTTGATTAGAACGGGAAAATTTTTCGAAACGTAATCCCTTAAAAAGTCGAAGGGCCATGAATCGTGGTATATTTTGGAGCATGGTAGTTCGGGTACTTTGGTAATGGAATATAGGAAATCTAAAATAAAATCAAAATACTCAAATATTTAATATGCATGTTTTTTCAAGAGGTTTTGAGTTTCTCTTTCGCTAGTCGCACTTTCTAAGAATTAGAGCAAACCACTGTTGCGTCCGAGCACTGTCAGAACATCTATAAGTGGAAACCAGGCATTATAAATTAATGATCTTTGCTTGAACTGTTTTCACCTTCAAAATTCGTTTTAAGGTCATCTCAAAAAATCCGCAATAATTTCCAAAATTCTTTGGCATAAACATTATTTGATATATTATCTACAATCTCTACAATTAGCTTTTTTTAGTTTCTCGTGGTTATCAATAAAATAATGCTTTTCACGGATCCAAGCTTGATAAACATGCCAATATGCAACCACCAACACATTTAATTGTTTTGGTGGTTGCGAACATGATTTTTGAATTTAAAAAAAAAGGCTGAATATCGAAAAACCAAAATAAGGAATTGTTGATAATCGATCAAAGGCCGCGTTAATGGCCGCCATGTTTAAACTGTGATGGGTTGATTTTTTGAAACTTGTTTTAATGTCTTTAAAAAAACGGCACATCAGAATTGGCTCAAATTTGGCATAAACATTATTTGATCGATTATCAACAATTCCTTGTTTTGGTTTTTCGATATTCAGCCTTTTTTTTTTAATTCAAAAATCATGTTCGCAACCACCAAAACAATTAAATGTGTTGGTGGTTGCATATTTGCATGTTTATCAAGCCTGGATCCGTGAAAAGCATATTTTATTGATAACCACGAAAAACTAAAAAAAGCTATGTAATTGTAGAGATTATAGATAATATATCAAATAATGTTTATGCCAAAGGATTTTGGAAATTATTGCGGATTTTTGAGATGAGCTTAAAACGAACTTTGAAGGTGAAAACAGTTCAAGCAATTTCAAGTAGATGGCGCCACGGCAAAAAAGCTACATTGGGAGCATCATAATTGTATATTTGTCTTTCTCTGTCATTAAGTGTTTCACCGACAAACAGATTTTGTTTTGAACAAATTATAAAATATTGAACCCTATGTGTAGAGTGACGCAGTCGTCATTTTCAAAAACTAAATTTAAACATGGCGGCCATTAACGCGGCCTTAATTTAAGTTCATAAGTCTTGCTCACTTGGCGACAGCCATAAAATTATTCAGCAATTATTAGAAATTACGGAAAACAACTACCTACTATGACATGACAGCCCTATTGCACTGTTACGTCATATCATTCCATCTTTCTCTAGGCACTGAACGTATGTTCTAAATTGGTCCGGCAATAAATTGAAATTTTTGACATCAATTGACCTTTTGTTTGGACGCCATATTGCGGTGCGCGAACATAGTAGCCAACAGTAGAAAAAATAAATTACTACCGTACTGTCAACATTAAAAACTAAAGTTACTGAATAAATTACATTTAAAATTAAAATTTGCCGCCTATTACGAATGTTTTTGAAAAGAAAAGCCATCAATTTTAGCTTGTATTGGGCAGAATAGAAATACTTTTGTTTTTAATGTTGACAGCCCGCTAGTAAATTTTGTTTTCTTCTTTTGGCAACTATGTTCGCGCACCGCAATATGGCGTCCAAACAAAAGGTCAATTGTGGATTCGCCACAGTATCAATGTCAAAATATAAATTATAAATAGATTGTTACCTGAAATAAGCTGTTTAAAAAGGGCAAGCCTACGCTACGAACGAAGCAGGTACCCAACCCAACCAGAGTTGACGCCAAAATAATGTTTTATTGGCCCCCATTGATTTGTTATTTTGATACACAATTTTAGGTAAAAATTAAATTACTCGGATATACTACGTATACGTACAATGCAATTTTCGCTTCAATTAGTGGGTAATTGAGCGAAAATAAAATTGAAAAATAAAATAAAATAAAATAATAGTTATATTTTTGTATCTAGTGCGCGAAATGCTACTTTGGTGATCGAGAACTGATTTTTTTAACGAGGCGCAGCCGAGTTAAAAAAATAGTCGAGATCACCAAAGTATTTCGCGCCCGAGTTGCAAACAATATTTTTTCTACAACTCCATTTAAATATCGATCATTCGAAGCCAAAATTGCATTCTTATTCAAAGGTAGGTGAATTTTAATTATTTTTGGTTTCCTGACAGGTATGTGTTACCATGACACCGGTGTGCGAACTAGCTATTTCGCGCACTAGTGTGCGAAATAGCTAGTTCGCGAACGGCGTCATGGGAACGTTAAAAAATCAATACCTAGGAAAAAAAAGTGTCACTTCGCAAACTGTCATGAGTCTGCGAACATCATCATTTTTTGACAGTTGTAGAAAAAAAATATTTTTAAAATTTCCTCTTAGCCCCGCCCCTACGTGGCCAATACAAACAACCCTGCGATTTTATTCTCATCGCACAGCGGACATCGCACACATCTTATGGGTTTTCGGGGACCGGTCGATTTTTTTAAAAAATTGGTATGTTGTAGTACTAGCAAAAATAAGCATTTCTCATCATTGCGCCAAATCTCTAACTATACAGGGTGACCCAGTAAAGTAGGCCCGAAAATCATTAAACAAGCCTTTCCATTACCGGTATTAGCGCGCCCTGCAAGCTAAATATCGAGATTTTTGTTTTCGATTTCGCAAATAAATAGTTAGATAAGCCTAATATACTATACAGGGTATCTGAGCTTGCGTATTTTTTTAGAAATCCTGCCCTATTTTTAGAAATAGTGTTACCAAAAAGGTAGCGCTGGATTTTATTTAGCCGTAACTTTTTTAATTTTTGTCCGATTTAAAAAAATGTGGTATCAAAATGAAGCTTATATCACAGGGATGTCATGAAAAATTAAAATGTGATAAAATTCGAGATGGTTGAACGTGATAAAAGTATAACTTTTCATTCGATTATGGTGTTGAATACACCCAATACACCTAAAGTAAGGGGCGGTTCCTCAATTACGAGGGGTTAACTAACCCGGTGTTAATTTCAACCTTGGTTGGGTTAACTGAGGATTGTGTTTCTCAAGCATCCACTGTAGGGGGAGTTAATAAACACTGGGTTAGGCAATAGTTGGTAGCATTATTGTTTACCAGGATGGTGATCTCAACTTATTTTTGATTGGTCGAAAGTAGTCGAAAGTAGTCATGAGTCTATCGTCAAATTAACCCATTCACAAAACTTTTTGCAGTTTGTTGTTAAGATGTTAAGTTGATGGTAAGTTCGAGAATTCTTTTTGGCGCATCGTTTTTTATAACAATTTGTTAATGTTTGAAGAGCGTGGTTAATGCAGTGTGTGTAGTCAATAGTCATGGAGAAGAAAGATATCGCAAGAGGAAAAAACTTCCTTGAATCAGAAAAAATAATAATAATCAAGCTATAATATGAGCGAATTATAGGGTGCAAGAGGTTAGACATGAACTTTTAATCCTTTTGTAGAGAAATCCTAGTCATCGTATTTCTCGAGAGGATTAATCCTTTGGTGGATTATATGAGGCGTTTTTGCTATGAAATTGTAGAAATCTTCATCTTCATCAATCAGTCCATATATTTCTATTTTGGAAAAAAAAATATTACCACAAAATTGACAGATCACTAGATTACGAAAAAAAATAATGTTTTTTCAGGTTATCTCAAGGGGTAAATCCATAAATCGCTAAACCCGCATTATCATCAACAGTGAGCCAATTTAACCCAAGGTTACACCAAGAGTTATAGCTAACTCGCTGTGGAGAAACGTTTACCCTGGAGTTATAATCAACCCGGAAATGACTCGCTATTGATAAACCGGCCCTAAGTAACGTATTTGATGGATACTTCACATTGTTCTCATGTCGAGCGTAGCTAAAGTACCTAACAACGCTATAGCTATAACTTTGCATGTGCCCAATACTGGATTTCCGCCATCCAGCACAGGGGAGAACAAAAATGATACAAACAGAAAATCTCTCCTTACTTATCTTGTGTGAACCCCGAAAATATTTAGATATATTCGGAAAGTTTCAGTTCATGAATACTCAACAGTGAGAATAGAAAAATTAATATAATTTCCATGTAAATCGACTTAAGGCCCACCCCACCACCCCTAAGTTGGAGGTTTTCTTTTTGAATCCTTTCATGTAGGGCATTTTCAATATTTTGCACTAGTCACAACTAGGGGTTAATTAGTGATATAGTGATATAGTGATAATAGCGATTAATCGATTAATAATCGATTAATCGATTAATCGATTAGTCGATTATTTTATTTTTCAAAAATCGATAATCGATTAATCGATTATTTTTGATTAATCGATTATTTTCGATTAATCGATTATTTTCGATTAATCGATTATTTTCGATTAATCGATTATTTTCGATTAATCGATTACTTTCGATTAATCGATTATTTTCGATTAATCGATTATTTTCGATTAATCGATTATTTTCGATTAATCGATTACTTTCGATTAATCGATTATTTTCGATTAATCGATTATTTTCGATTAATCGATTATTTTCGATTAATCGATTAATCGATTAGTCGATTATTTTATTTTTGAAAAATCGATAATCGATTAATAATCGATTATTTTCGATTAATCGATTATTTTCGATTAATCGATTATTTTCGATTAATCGATTATTTTCGATTAATCGATTATTTTCGATTAATCGATTACTTTCGATTAATCGATTATTTTCGATTAATCGATTATTTTCGATTGATCGATTATTTTCGATTAATCGATTACTTTCGATTAATCGATTATTTTCGATTAATCGATTATTTTCGATTAATCGATTATTTTCGATTAATCGATTATTTTCGATTAATCGATTATTTTCGATTAATCGATTATTTTCGATTAATCGATTTTTTTCGATTAATCGATTATTTTCGATTAATCGATTATTTTCGATTAATCGATTATTTTCGATTAATCGATTATTTTCGATTAATGATGAATTATTTACGATTATTCTATTATTTTTTGAGATAATTTTATATTTTGTTTTTCTTTGCATATCTAAGGGCCGATT